TATAACATTTTTTGAGAATTAGTGATTCTGTTCATTCAAACACCAAGTGAATTCTAAATATCCACCATTGTTATAATCAAATTGTTTTTAAAAATTACACTGAAGACAACACATTATTCGGAGATACTAAGAAAAGGCTTCATCAAATATGATTACTTCTAAGATGTAAGGAAAGAAGACTCATGTGTATGTGCCTTTTACTTAATACCCTTTTGTTCTAAAATGTTACTTCCATATAGCTTTTATAATAATTTTCAAAAAACCTATTATGGTATTTCCACATGGTACATGAACCTTAATATTGTTACTAATATTAGGTACACAGACTGTGTGTCAAACCATTGCCACCTTTGATGATTTTCATTTTTCATTTTTGTTCCCAGTTTTTACTTACCCTTTATAATGATAACCCTCATTGATAGTGGCGCTTATTGTCTCTGATTCTGAAAATACTGGTTTATAAGAAAGTAATGAAAGCAGAAATTTACATAGCTTTACATAGTTCTTTGCTTCTGTGAAAATCTCTGAAATTGTTTATGTACAAAGAGAATTATCTCTTAATCGAATCATATGAAGTGGATATGGGGTGATATTTAGATTTATGGCAGTACTGATAAGTATTATTCTTAAAAGGAAATAATGGGAAAATATTTAGAAAAATTATTTATAACATGCAGCATATCTGCTTAGTATGTTTAACATGTAATTTAATTTGCCTGTTAAATTTATTTATAAATTTTTACCTATAAAATAAATTTTAAAGTATGAATAAAATTTTAATTATAAAACATTTTAATTATAAATGTTAAATGTTAATTATAAATAAAAGATAGTGAATTTCTTAATGCGTGAGGAAGAGGATGAATGGGTTAAATACAAAACCACTTCTGGATTTAGCAAACCTAGTAATGAGGACAGACCAGTGATACTACAGGCTTATGTAACAATATCTGACATTTAAGCCAGGTAGAATTAGATCCCAGTATAGAACATGGCAGATTGCTAGAATCAATCAATGCAGATTTCTTGTACCAATACCTAAGAAACAAAGGCAGGAACCATAGAGTAGAAAAGTTACTATGTGTATGTATAAGGTTTCTGAAATGTATGTTAATCTCCAATTTTAGTTCCATTCCTTTTCTTTAGTAATGAAATCCTTTATGGAAAAGTCTGTCTGTTCTTTCTTAGGAGATTTGTAAAAGAAAATAGAAAATTTCCTATCCCACAGCCAAAGATGAAGAGAAGAAAACTTGCTATGTGGTGACAGTTCTGAGGAGAACTCAGATGGAAACATGAAGGTCAATGAAAGGAAAAAGAGTACATAAAAGACAAGTACTTACCTGAGGGAGTGACACCAGTAGCAGAAAGGTCACATGCACTTTTCTGACTCTCACTCCGTCATCCTATCTTGGCTCCATGTATGACTTGTTTGAGGAGCTGTGGTCCTTATAAAGTAGTCCCTTGATACCTACAGACAGAATAGTTATAGTCCAAGTTATTCCCAAGGTATTCCAAGGGCTCTGACCGGTAGCAGTTTGTAATTTGTTTATGGTGCAGATGAACAGTTGTATAGATTTGAATCCAGTGCTAACATGTAGCCTTGCTGGTTCCCCACTGATTTTCTTGAGGAAATTTTAGTTCTTTCTGAATTTTCATGTTCGTTTGGCAATAATTCCATGGAGCTGTCAGTCATCATGGATCCCAATGTGTCCTTCCAGAATAGTACTGATCTGTGTGGCCCTGAATTTTGCTTTTTTGTATAGCTCTTTCTATAATAAATTCATAAAAGACAAAATTTTATTATCATAGAGCATTTTAAAATAACATTTAAGCACTTTCATGATACTCATTTTGTGGGATTTTTGCTCAGTTGCTTTTTGTAGCCAAAGAAGACATTTAACCTTTCCTTCTTAAGTATTTTAACTGG